TCCCCTATCCCTCAAATTTCAGCACAGGACAGTCAGACTTCAAATAACTGAATGATCTGTGCAAATTATATAAACTTTCAGAAGCTTAATTCCTTATCCTTTTTAAAAAAATTTTTTTGGTAGTTGTAGATGGACAGCATACCTTCGTTTTATTCAGTTTTATGTGGTGTGGAGGATTGAACCCAGTGCCTCAAGATATTCTAGGCAAGCACCCTGCCACTGAGCTGTAGTCCCAGCCTGACTTACTTATCTTTATAATGGTTCTAATAATAGAATCTACCAGCACCACCACACAGACACACACACACACACACACACACGCACAAAGTGATGATGCTACCATTCATTAAAGAAGTCCATGGTTCTTTATTTCAGAAGGAAAATTACCCTTCCTCCATTTTATGAGATGCTAGGGTTAAATTATTATACACATTTATACAAAAAGAATATGTATAGTGATTAGTCAGTTTTCTGTTACTGTAACAAGATACCTGAGGCAGCCTACTTTTAAAGAAAACAGGTTTATTTAGCTCACAGTTCTGGAGTTCAGCTTCTGCTTGTCTCCACTGAAGCCTTGTGGTGGAAGGTATAATGGCAAGAGCCCACGTGGGATCAGGAGATATCATTGCCAAACAGGAAACCAGAGAGATTCAGGAGGCAGGCTCAGTCTTTTATAATTCTTCCCTTCCCAAGAATGTGGGAGACCAACATTCTCTTCTGCGAGCAGTGCCCCCAAAGAATTCCCAATAGGCTACACTAAGGAAAGCCTCCAATATGTGAAGGTTAGGGGGTACACTGGAACCAAAATAAATAGTAAGTATAAGCCAGTTTTACCAATAAACTCCTTTGTAAGTTAGTAACATTTTACACTTGGAAAAACTATTCATATAGTCAGGAAATAATGAATAAACAAACCTTTTTTTTTTTTTTTTTTAACTGGGACTTGAATCCAGGGGTGCTTAACCACTGAGCCACACACCCAGCCCTTTTTATTTTTATTTTTTTAATTTTGAGATAGGGTCTTGCTAAGTTGTTAGAGCCTCACTAAATTGATGAGGCTAGCCTTGAACTTCCTCCTGCTTCAGCCTCAAAGTCACTGTGATTACAGGTGCCTCATCATGCCTAGTTAACCAAAACACTTTTTTTTTAGTTGTAGGTGGACACAATACTTTTGTTTATTTTTATATGGTGCTGAGGATTGAACCCAGTGCCTCATATGTGCTAGGCAAGCGCTCTACCACTGAGCTATGACTCCAGCCCCTAACCAAAACATTTTTAAAGGGCTGTGATTGGGGTTTATATTAGTTTCCTTTAATGTTATTGCCCCCCACCAAGAATTGTATTAAGGCCGGGCATGGTGGCACATGCCTGTAAATCCCAGCAGCTCTGGAGGCTGAGACTGGAGAATTGTGAATTCAAAGCCAGCTTGAGCAATGTCAAGGCGCTAAGCAACTCAGTGAGACTCTGTCTCTAAATAAAATACAAACTAGGGCTGAGGATGTGGCTCAGTGGCTGAGTGCCCCTGAGTTCAGTCCCCAGTACCCCCATCCCCCAAATAAAAGTATTAAGAAAAAGAAAATGAGGGCTGGGGTCATGGCTCAGTGGCAGGGGGTTGCCTCACACATATGAGGCACTGGGTTCAATCCTCAGCACCACATGAAAATTAATCAATAAAATAAAGATATTGTTTTTATGTATAACTAAAAAATATTTTAAAGAAAATGAAATTAACCTTTTATATCCCATATATTAGAGGACCTAATATACAGATTACCCACTTCCCTGGGACATTTTGTAGTCAACAACATGAACTGCAGGAAAACTACTGCACAGACATTTCAGCGTGTGTGTATCTGATGCTGTGCCTCTTAGGAAAGCCCATGGAAAACCAGGCTACAAAGGTTTGACATTTTTGTAAGCTTACAGTTTAACCAATGTGTAATCCTTACCTCTGGGTGTGTTAAAATAGCTGCTTTAAAAATTATGTAACTTTCAAAAAAATTTGTCATCAATTCTTCTCAATAAAAGTTGAATTATTATATGAGATGCTGAATTGTTGAATAAAATTTTCGGCAGCAGTATTTATTGGAAAAAAGGTCCTCATTGGTCTGAGGATGTGGCTTAGTGGCAGAGCACCACCTGCTTACCTAGCATAATACATAAGGGCCAGGGTTTAATCCCCAACATACACACACACACACACACACACATACACAAATTAATGTGTCTATGTGGTTGCATGTATAAAGGATGAGTTTTTAACTATTTTTTAATTTTTGTCTTATTTGGTATTAAATTGAATTTTAGGCTTGAGGGGAAAATGCTTTATGAATGGTATTTGGGGATCTGGACTTGTAGGGAGTTTGTGGATGTGAATCATTATGGAGTTCTGTTATAAACCTGGTTTATACATTTAAAGATTGCACATTATTCAAACCCAGGCAAGCACTTCACCATTGAGCTACAACCCTAGCCCATATTATTCAAATTTTAAAACTGTTTAATTGTTGACGTACAAATGATAATTTTTTGGTATGGTTCCAAATGTATGTAGAAGAAATAGTAAGACAATTGTGTTATAAATGGTGGAAGGTAAAGAGATGTAAAAGGAAATAATTTTTCTATGTTGCACTTGAAATATAAAAAAGATGACACCAACAATAAAATAAAGATTGCATATTATTATTTTTTTATTGGTTGTTCAAAACATTACAAAGCTCTTGACATATCGTATTTCATACATTTGATTCATGTGGGTTATGAACTCCCATTTTTACCCCGTATACAGATTGCAGAATCACATCGGTTACACATCCATGTTTTTACATAATGCCATACTAGTGACTGTTGTATTCTGCTACCTTTTCTATCCTCTACTATCCCCCCTCCCCTCCCCTCCCATCTTCTCTCTCTACCCCATCTGCTGTAATTCAAATCTCTCCCTTTTTTTTTTTTTTCCCCATATTATTAAGCCAACGTTGTAGCACAGTCCTATAATCCCAGGGGCTGGGAGGCTGAGACCGGAGGATTGTGAGTTTAAAGCCAACTTCAGCAAAATTGAGGCACTCAGCATCTCAGTGAGACCCTGTCTCTAAATAAAATACAAAATAGGGCTGGGGATGAGGCTCAGTGGGTGAGTGCTCCTGAGTTCAATCCCCAGTACCCCCCCTCCGGCACCCCCCTCCCCCAGAAAAAGATTGCACATTATTTACTTCTTGTTTTGTGGTTTTATAGCTTTATGTAGTCAGTAAGCGGAGAAGTGGGCTCAGTTGAAGATCAGGGCTAGAGATGGGAGCTGTACTTGAGTTATGTGGTAAGTTTATTTTTGTGTCAGATTATATATTTGTTTGTTTATTTATTTATTTATTTGGGTATTGAATTCAGGGATATTTTACCACCGAGCTACATCCAGCATTTTTTTTTTTTTAAGTTTTTTAGAACTTTATTTTATGTACAAAGAACTAGCATGTTCTCTTTCATTGGGTGGCTGACTTGGGCAATCCATTCGAGGAAGATCACTTAGTCCAACTTAATGGAGCCTACATCCTTTGACCAAAACACTGTGGGCACATGCGGAGTCAGGATTTCTGGATCAGACCATGTCTGTTTGAGCATACGCAACAAGAGCGAGAACCCTGGCTGAATTTTCTTAATATTTATTTTTTAGTTTTTGGTGGACACAACATCTTTATTTTACTTTTATGTGGTGCTGAGGATCGAACCTAGTGCCCCGCACATGCTAGGCGAACGCTACCGCTTGAGCCACATCCCCAGCCCATGTATGTAAATCTTGAGTATGCATTCTATATAGATGCCTTCACTTTCTCTTTTTTATTGATGTTTTGGAAATTGTTCTAGGATTTGTTTGTTTCCTATATTTCAAAAAAAAGAATAACTTTTGCTGGGGATGTGGCTCAGTGGTAGAGCTCTTGCTGGCCTGTGTGAGGCCCTTGGGTTTGATCCCTCGTCAGAAAAAAAAAGAAAAGAAAGGCAAAACAAGTCATACAAACAAACAAGAAAAAATCAACTCTATTCTTACGAATATATGACACTCAGGGATTGTTTTTAATTTGTTAAATTAAGCAACAGTAATGAACAAAGTTATGGATGACTTGACCATAGCTGTTAAGAGTTAGCAGAATTTGATAATGAGCAATAATTCATCCTGGAGTTTTGTGGGGATTTTTTGTTTTGTTTTTGTTTTTTAATTTTCTTTATGCTTTTATTTTATTTACTTATTTTTTCTCTGATGCTGAGGGTCGAACCCAGGGCCTTGCACTTGGTAGGGGAGTGCTCTACTGCTGAGCCACAACCCCAGCCCCCCCCTTTTTTGTTGTTGTTTTTTTTGTTTTTGTTTTTGTTTTTTTAGCAAAATATTTCTATTTAAATATAGGTGTGTGGTTTTAATTGATTTGTTCTGTGTTGTTGAGTTCTACATGTTTGCTGAAATAGATTCCATTATGTATAGCAAAATAAACGTTTTGTTTTTTAATCACTGTACAGACCACAGGTGTTTTCTTTCTCTTTGTGAGCAGTTGAATCTGTAAATCACCTCCTGTGGAGACCAGTGTCCCAGTGACTGATCCAGCTGTTGGGTGTTGTAGATGAACAACTTGCTCCTACTTGGCTGCTTCAGGGAATAGGGCACACAGGGTGAAGAATTTTGCTAGGCCCTTAGGAACCAGTTTCAGTTTGCTTGGATTCTTTTTTGGCTTTTTGCTATAGGTGCCAGAGTTTTCACAAATGACTCATCTTCCTCTCAGATTTTCTTAGGCTGCAGTGATTTAAGAATCTTTGGGTCACTGTTACATAGTTTCTCCTACCACATGGATTGTGGGGGATAAAGTAGTCATATTGAAAGTCAAACCCGTTTCCATCTCATTCTGAGTGATTCCTGTGGTACATAGAAAACTTTGTTTCTTCCTGAAAAATGGTGTTTTAGTGATTCATTGTTTTCTGTGGGAGGAAGTTTACGACCTACTCTTCTTTTTCCCTTCCAGAGGGAATTTGGGAAAGTTGCAAGCAAAACATCATTTCTCAAAGAAGATTTTGGGTAACAGAAGTTCTGCATAACAGGTAAAATGCATTTAAACTTCTTTGGTGGTGCTGACAAGTCACCTATAATCTGCAGAAGTAAACTGAAAGAGCAGGGAGAGAAAGTTGAAAAGTTAAATCTACTTTGTGTCAGGAGTTGTCAGGGACTTGTTACATATATTTCACCTATATGTTTTTAACCTAGATTTCCCCCCCTCCCCTCCCTTGGTACTGGGGATTGAACCCAGGGGCATTTAACTACTAAGTCACATCCCCTGCCCTTTATTATTTATTTTGAGACAGAGTCTCACTGAGTTGCTGAGGGCCTTACTAAGTTGTTGAGGATGGTTTTGAACCTCACACTCCTCCCAAGCCAATGGCTCTGGAGGTTGAGGCAGGAGATTCACAAGTTCAGAGCCAGCCTCAGCAAAGTAGTAAGGCTACTCGCAATTCAGTGAGACCCTGTCTCTAAATAAAATACAAAAAGGGCTGGGAATCTGGCTCAGTGGTTAAATGCCCACTAGGTTCAATCCCAGGCACTTAAAAAATCTTAGAATAAAACTATCCTTTAAAATGTGTTTTAAATGGATTTATTAATTGGTTTATTATACCAGGGATACTGAGCCAAATCCCCAGCATTTCCTTCCTTTTAAAATTTTGAGACAGTTATTGAGGCTGGCCTTGAAATTGTGATCCTCCTGCCTTAGCCTCTCAAGTGGCTGGGATTAGAGGTGTGTGCCACCACGCCCAGCAGCAAACTTGTTTTTATATCTTCCATAAAAAAAATACAGATATAATAAAGGGGTTATAAAATTTGTTGCAGAGTATTCATTGTGGTCTTTTAAGTAAAATTAGAATCTGCTCTGCTGTTCCATCCAGCTAGGGAATGTCTTTCTAGTTCCTTTCTCTCTGTTGTTTTAGTCCATGATCATTTCCAGTTGTTTGCAGCTGTACCATCTCCTTAATTCCTTTCAACACTTGTCAGCTGGTCCAAAATTTAAGCTTCCTAATAAGCTCCCTGTTAACTAGGAAGTCCAGCCCAAAGGTCTCCTTTATGTTCTGAGAGATATTCCCTTGTGATTGGATTGGAATAGCTGTATGCATTTTTTTTTCCTTTTTGTGGTGCTGGGCATTGGACCCAGGGGTGCTCTACCATTGAGCTAGATATCCAACCCTTATTTATTCATTTATTTTTTTATCATGATTATTATTTTTTTGGTACCAGGGATTGAATTTAGGGGCACTTAAACGCTGAGTCACATCCCTGGCCCTTTTTATTTGTATTTTATTTAGAGACAGGATCTCACTTAGTGGCTTAGCACCTCATTAAGTTGTTGAGGCTGGCTTTGAACTCGAGATCTTTCTGCCTCAGCCTTCCGAGCCACCAGGATTACAGGTTTGTGCCACTGCACCCAATCCTTTTTATTTTCTTGACTCACTAAGTTGCTCAGGCTGACCTCAAACTTGCCAACCCTCCTACCTCAGCCTCCCAAGTCGCTGGAATTATAGGTGTCCACCACTGCATCTGCTGCATCTGGCTGCATTCTTTTTTTTTTTTTTTTGTCCACACTTTTTATTGGTGTGTTCTAGTTGTACATGATGATGGGACTTGTTACATTTTTGTACATGCACACACTATAACAATATAATTTGTCCAATATCACTCCCTAGCATGTCCCCCGCCATCACCTTTCACTCCTTTGTATTATTTCTTATCTGTATCTCAGAAAGTTCTGAAGGTCTCATGAAATAATAATACATGTCAAAAACCCAATGTGCTACATCTGAGAAATATATCTCAGTTAATGAGACCTACAATAATAATTATTATTTATGGGTTTTTTTGTATTTTTAAAAATGTCTCAGTTGTTGATGGACCTTTATTTTATTCATTTATTTATATGTAGTGCTGAGAATCGAACCCAGTGCCTCACACATGCTAGGCAAGTGCTCTACCACTGAGCCACAACCCTAGCCCCTTTACTGCATTTTTATTGTTGTTTGTTGTTGTTATTATTATTTGTGCTGTGGATCAAACCCGGAGCTTTTTGCATGCAAGGCAAGTGTTCCATCACTTAACTATACCCCAGCCCCACAATTTTATTTTGTAAACCGAGGAAGACGTGAAAGTCCAAACAAGTTCTTTTGGACTGAGGTGAATAAATTATCCTGTCTAAGGGTGGTAAGAATGAGGTGTTTTAAATGGATTTGCCTGCTGCTTGGATATAATGTTATTTACTATAACATTTGTTCTAGTGTTAGCCTTGTAGTTAGATTTTGAGTATGTACAGAAGTGGTATCTAGCAATATCATGGATTGAAATTTACATTGTCAATATTTTAATAGTTGTTGGGGTTTGGGTGTAACTCAGTGGTAGAGTGTGAGCTTAACATGAGCATAACCCTGGGTTTAATCCCCCACACCAATAAGAGGAATAAAAATATTTTAATATTTGTTGTTTTTTTTCCCATGATATTTTCCACTTTATCAGGACAAACCAAGTTTATCACCATGAGTTGGAGCTTCCTGACTCGCCTGCTAGAGGAGATTCACAACCATTCCACATTCGTAGGGAAGATCTGGCTCACTGTATTGATTGTGTTTCGGATTGTCCTAACAGCTGTAGGAGGAGAGTCCATCTATTATGATGAGCAAAGCAAATTTGTGTGCAACACAGAACAGCCAGGCTGTGAGAATGTCTGCTATGATGCCTTTGCACCACTCTCCCATGTGCGGTTCTGGGTGTTCCAGATCATTCTGGTGGCCACTCCCTCGGTGATGTACCTGGGCTACGCCATTCATAAGATTGCCAAAATGGAGCATGGTGAGGTGGACAAGAAGGCGGCTCGGAGCAAACCCTATGCTATGCGTTGGAAACAGCACCGGGCCCTGGAAGAAACAGAAGAGGACCATGAAGAGGATCCCATGATGTATCCAGAAATGGAATTAGAAAGTGAAAAAGAAAATAAAGAGCAGAGCCAACCGAAACCCAAGCATGATGGCCGACGACGGATTCGGGAGGATGGGCTCATGAAAATCTATGTACTACAGTTGCTGGCAAGGACCGTGTTTGAGGTGGGTTTTCTGATAGGGCAATATTTCCTGTATGGCTTCCAAGTCCATCCATTTTATGTGTGCAGCAGACTTCCTTGCCCTCATAAAATAGACTGCTTTATTTCTAGACCCACTGAAAAGACCATCTTCCTTCTGATAATGTATGGTGTTACAGGCCTCTGCCTATTGCTTAACATTTGGGAGATGCTTCATTTAGGGTTTGGGACCATTCGAGACTCACTAAACAGTAAAAGGAGGGAACTTGAAGATCCGGGTGCTTTTAATTATCCTTTCACTTGGAATACACCATCTGCTCCCCCTGGCTATAACATTGCTGTCAAACCAGATCAAATCCAATACACCGAATTGTCCAATGCTAAGATCGCCTATAAGCAAAACAAAGCCAACATCGCCCAGGAGCAGCAGTATGGCAGCCACGAGGAGCACCTCCCAGCTGATCTGGAGACTCTGCAGCGGGAGATCAGAATGGCTCAGGAACGCTTGGATCTAGCAATCCAGGCCTATAATCACCAAAATAATCCCCATGGTCCTCGCGAAAAAAAGGCCAAAGTGGGGTCCAAAGCTGGGTCCAACAAAAGCAGTGCTAGTAGCAAATCAGGGGATGGGAAGACCTCCGTCTGGATTTAATCTTTGCTGGGCTTAAAACTTGGGCTTTTCATAGTTTATGGTAAGCAACGGCTCACTGAATAATGACTTCCATTGAGTAAACATTTGGCTCTGGTTATCTTCAGGGATGCTGTTGGCTCATGATCCAAACTCAGGGGACTCTGAAGGTGGGGCTGGGATGAGTGGGGAAAGGGAAACACAGTGTTCCAGGGCACATGTTCTCAGCAATAATACAGTTGCAGAACTTTACATTTGTGTCTTCCAGATCCAGAGAAGAACAGATATATTTAAATCATTCTTGTTGAACAGTTTTTATATGTACAGTATTATGGTACATTTTTTTTTCTTTTTTTTTTTTTAGTATGAGAACTTTTTTGTATTTGTACATTGAACTGTTGTAGTTATACTTTTTTATATTAAAGGAAAAAAATCCTTGTAAGTAATGCCTATTAGGCTAGTGTTATTACTTTGTTTAGCAAAATCTACCCTGGGTTTAGAGTTTTAGTAGATGCTACATTCAATACAAGTGCCTCTCATGTTGCAGGGAACATTTCAATGGAGACTGAGGAGGAGATACCAGTTTTCTGTCTTAGAAAGGAAGACTACATTAGAAAGAGATTGAGATCTTCTCTCTTCCACCTGAGAAATCTGGGAATCTCAACTTTTATGACCAGAGCTGTAGCCATTCTTTGAAAACATGTTTCCAAAGGAAGTAAATAATTAGCTGCAGGATTTCTTCAAATTCCAAGCATTGCCAGTATGTGCTTTGATGTTATATACATAAGTTCTTTCAAAAGACTGATACGCAGTGGTGTCCCCCATCTAGTAGCTACATTCAATATAAGTGCCCAGGAGCAGTGTGAAGCGCCTGGCTAGATTTTGGTGCTAAGCAGCTTGTCTCAGAGAGCTCAGTCGCGCCTGGGAAATGAGGCCTAATAGGATGTTTAGCTGTGAACCCTTTTGATTGGCTTTAAGCCTCAATCCAGAAATCTGCCCATCTCTCTGGTTTCTTAAGCCCATAATGAATATTTTCCATACTTGTTAACATTAGAAATATAAAAATTCCCTTATAGACTAAGAATATTCAAAACTTCCTATACTGCAAATGGGAGAAGGCTTAAATCCAGATTTTTAAATTTCTTTTTATAATGGAATTTATGATTGACTTACTTCTGCCAATGTAGGTGTCTGCCTAAGTGGCCATTCTCACTTGGGATTTGTCTGTAAATAAACCAAAAGAGGTGTTCAGTATTTATTCCCTGTTGGTATATGTTATTTGTTAATGACAAGCATTATTGTTTATGAAACTAGTGTTTTATAAACAGTATTTATTGCCATCTTTTTTTTTTTTTTCCCAACCTGTTTATTGAACCCAGTGCTCACACATGCTAGGTAAGAGCTACATCCCCAGCCTTGTTTTTTTCCTTTTTTTTTTTTTAATGGGATCTCCCTGAGTTGCCCAGGCTGGTCTTGAACTTGCCTCTGCCTCCCTAATAGCTGGGATTACAGATGTATACCACCACTCCCAGTACCATCTTTACATTTTGTTGGAGAGCTGTGTTCTCCTATCCCATTTTTGTGGTTTGTCTTAGTGGTGAAACTTGGTAAAGGTGTCAGGGGGTCTTTGCTTTACCAGGGAGCATTTCACTTGGGTGTCTTCCTCTTTTCTAACAAAACTGCTGCAAGCCACTTCTGACTTTGAAATTCCAAAGGTGTTACGCTTTGTGTCTTCATTTTTAAATGCCATTTCCAGGCTATTTAGAAGAATATGAGAATAGCACCTTTTGTGCATTTGTTTTTTCTTTGTTGTTTCTCCATTTGCATTCCCCCTCCTCCCGCCCCCACGCATACCCAAAAAAACTCAGAAAATTTAACCTTCTAGCCATTCATTGACTTATATTTGTGAATATATATTTTCTAATCTTTAAATTTTAGCTTGGAAAAACTCCTCAGGATCTCTCAAAATTTTAAGCAGAAAATAAGCTCAGGTGAGACTGAGGGGGAAATTTTAGAAAATGACATACATGTATATCATGAATAATCAATGGGCATTGGCAGTTTTCCTCAAACCAAATGGTTAATAAGGAAATTCATATAATTGCTAGAAAAAAAGGCAGGATTTTTACTAGTTAAACCTCATTGAGATACAAAACTACCGATTCTTATGTTGCTGGAGCTTCCAGCAGATTTCTTAATTGAAGGACAGAAAATTCACATCCACTCAATGCCATTTGTTCAGAGCCCGGAGGAAAAGAGAGTGGCTTTGCCAGCAGAAAGGTTGGGAATTTGAGTGGTGGAGAGGGAAGGAGTCGAGCAGAAACGCCAGGAAGAACCAGGCAAAGGCATTTGGTGCCAGGAGTATCCACTTAGTTCTACAGCAGCCCTGGTGTTTCATCTTGGCTTATGCTGCTGAGAATGTTAGCTTTTGTGTCTGGCTAATTCTTCAACTTTTTAAAGTATATAGAAAGATGTCACCTCACATGTACACACTTTAAAATCTATATTTATTCTCTTGCTAAAGTTTTTTTTTTTTTTTTTTTTTTTTTTTTTAGTACCGGGGATTGAACCCAGGGGCGCTTAAACACTGAGCCACAACCCCAGCCCTTTTTAATATTTTATTTAGAGACAGGGTCTTGCTGAGTTGCTTGGAGACTCACTCACTAAATTGCTGAGGGTGGCTTTGAACTCAAAATCCTCTTGCCTCAGCTACCTGAGCTGCTAAAGTTTTCATTATGACAGGAATTTCCCTACTTGCTGCCTCCTTAACACATTTCTTTTATTCAGCTTTTGAATATAAGAGTTTGCCATAACTGTTTTCCACTCATAACATGGTATAAACCTACATAAAGAGAGTAACTCCTCTTTGTCTAATTTATTAACACATTGATTCTACATTGAATCTGTGAAAATATTGTTCTGGAAAGTACAAGTATTTGTATCAAAAGTCTGCCAATAGTTTTGTTTTTTCTATCAAAATCATATTGTGGGCTGGGGTTATGGCTTAGTGGTAGTGCACTCGTTTGGCATGTGTGAGGCACTGGGTTCAATCCTCGGCACCACATAAAAATAAATAAATAATCATATTATTTTAAATTGCTGGATAGGACTTGCTATGTCGTGATATTTCTCCTCTAAATGGAAGTTAAGTACTCAGTCCTTCACATTGTTAGAATCAGGATAGGAGCAATAACATGTTTATATTCCTTAATGTACTGGTGCATTTATTAAGATGTTATGTGTCCACACCTGACATTTTGTTAAAATCTTTTATTCAGAAGAGATTTGCAAAAGGAACAGGCATCTTTTGCTTAGTTCACATTTGAAGGGAGAATTAGATGACATTTTCCCCTGAAGAAATATTAATGTTCACTTTGTGGCTTTGTCTTTGCTTATGACTTCGTTTTGCTTGTTTCCATATTTGTTCATTAAAACCACAAGCGTATTATTTCAGTTGAAGTCAGTTTTTCTGGTAATTTTCCTTAACCAATATTTATGGAGTCATTTGCTCTTGATAACAATGAACTTTGCCATTCTAAAATGGCACTCACAGTTCAGGTCTTTTGCATATCTGTGTCTTTTAGAGGGCCACCTATATCTTTAAAGGGGGAAAAAATCAGTATTAGTAAACTTAACTGTCAATTCTTCACAGTTTGAAATCAGGGAGATCACTTTTCCAAGTTCAGGAGTCACTTGCCTCTGAGTGTTAGCCAGTAGTAACCTCTGGTAAAAGGTGTTCAAAAAATCAACTATCAGGACTTGGGTGTAGCTCAGGAGGGTAGAACACTTGCCTAGCATGCATGAGGTCCTGGGTTTGATCCCTAGTACCACAAAAAAAAAACAAAACCCTCTTATTATTGGTCATTTGACTGAGCTTGGAGCTTCAGAACAATAGTGAACTGTGTAATGGTGATAAGGCATACTGGAGTGCCCTTTATTGTGGGCCTCAGTGATGGTTTACAACACTTGATCCAAGCAATTTATACCAAGAATGGACTTTTAAATATTATTCTTCTTAGTCATACTTATGATTTACCCGTTTGGCATTTAGATGTCCATGCTGTATGCTTTCTGTCTCATGTAAGAGGCATTCACTTCTAAAAATAACACCTCTGGGTGATGATAAATTTTTGGCCAGCCAGCATTTGGTAAAAGGCAAGTATATTATACTTGAACTGACTTTAATGAATACCTTTTTTTATTTATAAATCAAAGATCTTTCCCAGCTGTGAAGAAGATACCTGAAGTCAAAGATACACAGCTGCTGGTCATTTTGATTGGAAGGTTCCAGGTATTAGATTAATTTTATGTATAAAATCATGTAATATCTTGAAGAATCTTACCACCCTATAGTGATAAATCCCCTTTACCTATACAGTGCAGTTGGGAGATAAAATGTCAGCCTACCTAACATGTCCTACATGTCATAAATCTGTAATAATTCAGTTACCATCAAATGTTAGAATCATTAGGTTGAATTACATACTTATCACTCATTCTAGCCTCACATCATGGAGACTTTAAGATTTTCATTTGCTGTTGTCCCTAATGTAATCTTATTGCTTTGTTGTTTATAATAACAAATTAAGTGGCTTTTGTTCATGCATATTCCATATTAAAGAAGAAATCCTCAGTATTCTAAAATCCAGGAGTTCCACTGCAGTGCAAAATCAATACAGAGATAAAAAGTAAGTTCTGCCTTTTAGGTTGGCTTGTTGAACCAGACAAAGACAGTGGGCTATGTGCTTCCCAAGATTGAAAAAAAAATTAACTGTTCTCTCAATTATGTTTTCTTTAGCAAATCTCCTACAGAAGTCTCTACCTCGGTCATTAAGTATTGTGATATGATTAGCATATTGATACCAGAAAAACTTAGCTAGGACTTCCAACTTTTAAAGAAAATTTAAATGTAAAATTCAACTGTTAACCAGGAATCAAATGTCATGTGATGTGCAGTTTGGATATTGCATGAACAGCTAAGGATTTACCTGTTTCATTGCCAAAGATGATTTGTCATTGATTTTGTTCTGTACAGTTTATGTAAAACTTTCATGGTAGAGACAGGCTCTGTGCTCAGGGTCTTGTCTCTTGGAAGATTTTGTCAGTTTTATCAGTTCCAAATACAGTTTAGAAGATTCACTTGTGGTCTGTGCATCCTTTCTCAAAACTCGAAACCCTTTGAAAACTAGGCTGTGAGGAAATTTCATGGTTGGCATGTATACCATTCTTTGTATTAAATTGTTTCCAAGAACTTAATGGTTTACACAGAAAATCTGATATGAAAATCTCTTCTTGTACATTCACCTGTAAGTTGATCTTAGTGGGAATACGCGAGCAGAGAAACTTCCAGCTAGAAGTCTGGCCTCAAAAGAGACCCTTTTGCATAGCAGGGCTGGTGCTCCTCTGGGTCTAAGTGGATTGGTGAATGTTTACTGTCACAAACTGGGAAGTACTGGTGGTCTCCTAGAGGAGGGGAAGGCTGGAGTCTAAGCTTGGGTGCTGGGAACGCCTTGTCTCTGACTTCCTTTGGTTCTGAGAGGCCTTTTCTGGAGGAAGAGTACCTTCCCCACCTAGGCACAGCCTCATCCACCTCTGAAGGGCGGTGCGGGTGTGGGTGAGGGGAGCGGTTATCCTTAGCCGAAACAAGACTCTGTTCCCAGATATAGGATAGCTGACTGGTAGGTCTCACACACCCCCCCTCAGCAGCAAAATTGTAAACTGGTCAGCTAACCATATTTGGTAATAAACTTGTGAGCCATTTGAAAGCTCTTGGGGCAGTTAAATCACTCCTGATTCTTAGTTTTAAAAGTGGATTATTTGGTAGATTTGCCATCAGAACAAATACCTGGAGAAGGTATTGGTATCAAAACTAAATCTCTGCTCTGTTTTTTACACAGAGCTTAAAAGCTTTTTTAGGTTTTATTAGACATGGCAGTGCACATATATATGGGTATATAACCCAGGGACTTGCACATGCTAAGCAAATAGTCTAACATTGAACTATGTCTCCCGGCCCTTATTTTGTATTTTAGTTTGAAACAGTTTCACCAAGTTGCTGAGGCTGGCATTGAACTTCCTGCTCAATCTCCTGAGTCACTAGGATTGCAGTTGTGTGACACCACACCTGACTTACAAAATTTTAAGACCTTTTTTTTTTGTTGTTGTTGTAGATGGGCACAATACCTTTATTTTATTTATTAATGTGGTTCTGAGGATTGAACCCATGCCTCACACATACGAGACAAGTGTTTTACCACTGAGCCACAACCGCAGCCCACAAAATTTTATTAAGATAATTTACATGCAGTAAAATTCACTCCAGCCCCAAAACCCACTCTTTTAAAATGTATAATTCTAAAAACACAGTTGATTAGCCACTGAAAGACACTGAGTAGTTGCATCACCCAACAAAAATTCTATGTTTTGTAAATGACTCATCTTGGGAAAATATTTTGAAATGTGAGCCAGAATAAAAGGGAAGAAATGAATTATTTTAAATTATCTCCTCTGTTCAAGGAGATTTAGACCTGACATAGCACATGAATTTCATCTCTTCTGCCAGCTCCAAATGATTGATGGATGGCTGGAGGGGAGGACTTTGTACAAGGTTCAGACAAATTACCCCTAAGTGATTTTGGAAATGGCAGGGGATACTGGGAAAAACATGCCATCCGTTTTTTAGATTTATTACTTTATTTATTTATTTATTTTTGGTAATGGGGATTGAACCCCCTGGGCCACATCCCAAGTCTTTTTAATTTTTATTTTGAGACAGAGTCTTAGTAAGTTGTTACGGTTGGCTTTGGACTTGTAATCCTCCTGTGTCAGCCTGCCAAGTTGCTGGGATTACAGGTGTAAATCCTGACCCTACCTAGTTTTTTAAGTATAAATTTTCAAAACATGAACTAGGATTCAGGACTTCCTAGTTTGTGACTGTAACTGGACCCATGGGAAAAGACCCATCCTACCTTGCATGTTCATGAGTGTCATTACTCAGAAATTTCTCCACCCCATATTAGATGACATCTTGGAAGAAGTTAGACATAGGAGGTGACTTAGAATTAGAAAACCACAAGGGGAAAGATGGTGACATGAAGACAAGTATTCATTGTCCAATAATTTCCTCTGCTCAACCCCCTCAATCCTGATGAAAATGCCCTGCCCTGCGCTGCCCTGCCCTGCCCTTCACATGCCATGCCTACTTAAACTAGACTCGGGAGTTATGAAAGAAAACTAAGGAAGCCCCTTGCTGGTGTCAGTGAAAAACTGATTGGATTCCCTCTTTTATCCTTGGTCTCCCACAAACAAGTGTCCTTATCTTCTCTGCTCTCCTGAGGCCATCCCAGAAGCCCAGGGAGGCCAGCCTCCTTGAACTCCAGGCAAAGCAGAACCAAGCAACTGTTCATAACTGATTTCAGCACATGGCCAGTGACCTGAATGGGACCTGACCGTGGGGGAAAATGATACAGAACTAGATGGGTTTTTAACATTTTTATTTTTAGTATATGTAGTCCTGTGAAAGTGAAATGTTATCTTTGAGCCAGGAACATTGAAAAACACTGACAGGGAGCTGCTTTGGCCTGGCCCATTTTTCTGAAGGCACATTGCAGCTGTGGCCTCAGCCCAGCAGGCAAAGGCATGTTGGGTCTGTACCCAGGTGCTGTTCAGAGCAGTAACAAGTCTCATCCTCTGACTGCAGAGGGTCTGCAGGAAGACTGGGGCACCATAAGAAACTTTGAACCTTAAAAACCCTGGAAACAGTAAATGCAAGTTGTCAGGACTGTTTACTTCACATTTCAGATTGGAAAGTGATCAAGACTTTGGAAACATCAACAAGGATCTGCAGGATCTGGACCAGTCAGATTATAGACCAATTTGTAATTATACTGTTGGTTCTAGAATTCTACTTTGCTGGGGCAGAGTTGGGGGGGGGTGACCTAGAAGAAATGGTGTGGGTGGGTACTTTATTTAATTCACAGCCCTTAAGCAGTGAGTAGCCATTCACACCAGCTCTTCTGAATAGCAAGCTATGGTCCTGAGAAATAGCTAGAAGGCAGAGTACAGTATTTGGCAGAAATGCAGGATAAAGATGTTGGGGAGATGATGTCTTTTTTTTTTCTTCTGGTACTGATCAAGCCCAGGGGCATTTTCCTCTGAGCTATATCCCCAGCCCTTTTTATTTTTTGAGACTGGGTCTCACTAAGTTGCTGAGGGTCCCACTTAATTGCTGAAGCTAACCTTGAACTTGGGATCTTTCCTCCTCAACCCCAGGAAGGATTATTGTGAGATGAGAAATGTGGAACACTAGTCTAGCCAGGGTCTGCCTGAGAAGAGTGCAAGAAGGTCAGCATAGATTGGTCTAGAATAGGTGCCTGAGCAGAAGCCCCTGACCCTTGATTTGGCATTACCAGTTAAAATACAAGATGCCTGTTTTTATTTGAAGGTCAGATCAGCAATGAATCACTGGTTTTTATATTACATGGAACATACATCAAAAAGTTCCTTTGGGGGGCCGGGGTTGTGGCTCAGTGGTAGAGTGCTCTCTGGGATGGTAGAGTGATTACTGGGTTCCATCCTCAGCACCACATAAAAATAAAGATATTGTGTGTCCGCCTTAAACTAAAAAATAAATATATTAAGAAAAGGTTCCTTTGGGCTTGGGGTATTTAGCTCATTGTTAGAGCACATGATTCCCTGGTTTTCAATCCCTAGCACCCTGCCAAAAATTGTTGTTTATCTAAAATTCAGCTTTACCTGTTTGTCCTGTTTTTATTTGCTAACTAATTTATAAATTGTATTTGTTAATGAATCTGCAAATTTTAGTTTGACATGCATTCTGAAGTCTGGTAACAGGATGGGAAAAACTTTAATCAGATATTAAGAAAACTATGAACATAAACTGTTGACTTGAGTCTGAGCTGCTTCACACAGAAAGATACTTAGTCGTGTTGCCAGTGAGGAATATTGGTTTTTCCTATTTATGGCGACTCTCCTATGATGTAAAACGTTTTTTGGTTCTGCAATTTCCTCAGTAAGTAACAATATATAATACTACATTAACCCAAACTCAGGCTAGCAGCAACCTGCTTTTGTAAAAAACAGTCCAGGGCTGGGGATGTAGTTCAGAGGTAGAGCACTCTCCTAGCATGTGCAAAGCCCTGGGTTCAGTCCCCAATACTGCAGAAAAATAAAAAGTTAAAATAATGAAAAAGTCCACTCCTGACTATATTGTCAAAATAATTGGAATCAGGATATCAAAGAGATATTTGCATATCCTTAAAACAGCATTCTTCACAATGCCCAAGAGGTACAAACAGCCCAAATGTCCATAGAGAGAGGAATAGATTAAAAAATGTCATATATCCATGCAGCAGAATTATTATTCAGCCTTAAAAGAAGAAAATCCTTTTATGCTTACAACATGGATGAGATTTGAGTACATAATGCTGAGTGAAATAAACCCAGTCACAAAAAGACATCTGTGTGAGTATGAATCCACTCATGTGGTGTTTAAAAGAGTAAAAATTACAATAATAGGCTGAGGACATAGATCAGTAGATAGAGTGCTTGCCTTGCATGCACAAGGCCCTGGGTTCAATCCCCAGCACCACCAAAAAAAAGAAAAAGAAAAATTACAGGAACAGAAAATAGGATAGTAGTTGTCAGGGACTAGAGGGAGGGAGAAATTAGTTGGTTGATGGGTAGAGTTTGCTTGTTTGTTTGTTTTGCTACTGGAGATTGAACCTAGGGGCACTCAACAACTGAGCCACGTTCCCAGCCCTTTTTATTTTTTATATTGAGACAGGATCTTGCTAAATTGCTGAGTCTGCTCTCAAACTTGAACTTCTGTCTCAAACTCTCAAGTTGCTGGGATTACAAGTGTGCACCACCACGCCCAGCCCCAGCCCTTTTTTGAAAATTTCGAGACAGGGTCTCACTAAATTGGTTAGGGCCTAAATTGCTGAGGCCGTCCTCCTGCCTCATTCTCCCGAGTTTCTGGGATTACTGGCATGAGCCACCATACCCCAACATGCCCCACCCAGCCAAGATTTTGAGTTTAGCACGATGAAAATAGAGCTCTGTTACATAATAATATGCATATAATCAAGACTACTGAACTATCCACTTAGAAATCATCA